GACTGATCTGTAAAACAAGTTATGGTAACTTTGAGAGAAGAGAATTGCTGTCGAATATGCTTTCCTCTATGACCTTTAATTCTACTAAATCTAGTCTAATTTAACACAGGCACCACCAAATGTAAACATAGAATAATATCGTTGACGGGACTCCATAGTTTGAGACCTTGCATAATAATACCTCAGCGAACATATTTATGGGAATATTCATGATCTACGAGAACAAAAATTTGATTATAACTACAACTTTCGTGAGACATAAAGGCTTTCAAATGGATCAATTATAGTAATAGAATCAAGTGGACGTAGGCATAATTATTATAGAAAATATACAAAATATCTAAATATTTTCTTGCTTTCTTCTTATAATTTTAGTAACCAAAGTGACTTCCGATGGCGAACCACACGAAATGATGACAATGATCGCTGGACTCTCTGGTCTTTTTGCTGCCATGGTCATACTAGCTGTGCTAGTATCTCTGGTCAGCTGCAAGAGCAGCAAGAAGTAAGTGTTATAAGCAAAAGTTAAACCCCGATACTAAAATTAATTGATCGATTTTTCATCCCTTTCTCTTTTGCAGAGTACGACATTGCAAAAATTGTCCGCGCACCGCAAATGAAAAAGCTGGTAACACCGCACGTACATTAGATGATAATAGTACACGTTCGTCCATATCGACCACTTATATCCGTGCCACAAGCGTCGAAGATGGCAACACTGTGCCACCAACACCCATATACAATCCGGCTGTTTCGATGATTTCTTCTGGTAATCTATCGGGCAATCTAAATGCGGCATTTATGGGCAGTGAGTTGAATTTGACGAACACGCTGGGCAAGCCAAAGAAGAAGACGCACTGGAGTGATGAGGTGAATGCGCAAGTGAATGTGAAGGAGACCGCTGTGGATATCGAGCGTTTTTGATTCAAAGAAAGGAAGTAGCGAAAAATTGTGCGACAAAATAATTTCGTAAAATAAATCTGAATTTATACGCATGCGGAATTGAGCTGTAAAGTTTTTGATGTCCAGAGCGCGCTGGTGAAATGTGAACTGATTTGGAGAGGTTTTCTCTGCAAAGCTTACTTCGTTCGTTTTTGTTATTGTTTTAGTTTATAAAATCAATATATAGAAATTTAAGAGACAAATATAGTATTCTAAACAATTTTACGTGTAAGCACATGATTACCTATAACAAATATGGTTGGAGAATATCTACGAGAATCACCGTTAATCTCTAAATGCATTTTAGCTATGAAAATATATAGAATTTTGTAATAACTATTTTTTCAAAACGATCATATTTTTTCTTGTTTTATTTCCAACAAATTATAGTTGTATTACAAATATTTTTCTTAGTTTATAAAAGATTACACAATTACTAAAAAATATGTAAAATCACACACTAACTATACGAAAATGTCTTTTATTTCGCATTGTGGGGCGGGTAGACAAATTGGCTGTGGGCAACTTCTCAGACGATAGCCGCCAACAATGCCCATGCGCACATACCTACCATGCACCCGGTGAAACAGGCAGCGCGGATCAGTCGAACTCTTTGCTGATTTCAGCCGCGTGGCAGCGTGCATAACAATCGTGCGACGACTCGCCAGAGTCACCAGCTTAGGATCACAACAAAGTGACCACATGCTTACGAGGCGAAAATAATTAAAATACTATAGGTATAACAAGTAGGGTTAAAAGATAGTCTTAATACTATTTTGCTTATTTTCAAGGGGAAACTCGAACTGCCACCCTATGGTACATGCAACCACTGAACTGCGTGTAAAGCAAAGCGAACCTTTAAATATTCAGCATTCTCTCTCTCTCTCTCTTTGCAGAACAGATAATTTAAAATATTTTTAATTTATAAAGATACCTCTAATAGAATCGTTGACTTCGATTTTGGTCGATTATCTTTCTCTTGAAGACAATTTCAAATTCGAGGCTTTCTCAGTTATAAGACGTTTGAGCATTGATGACTTGGAATCGGTTCGGATACGGGAACAGCAAAGTCTTCTATTGCTATTTGCAAGAAACTTGCCTCTTCTAATAAACCTTAGTGCAATATATCGATATCTGGGATAAATATATCAGCCAATGTCTTTCCATTAAGTAGATCGCCATATTTCCATTAAGCTAGAAATAGACTCGCAATGAAGGAGTTCCTACTATCTTCCTCTATTTCTCCCCAAATTTACATATTTTCTACCTTCTTATATTCCTCCTCGTGTGAAACGCTCCTTTTGGCGTGTATATGCATTGTCAACGGTCGGCAAAGCTTCTTCATGGAATTAAAATTCTTCTGTAGGACACCTTTTGAGCTAATGCGTACGATTTCTCTGGCATGCCAACTTCGTGGACTCACATACTGCAGTAATGTTGTGACAAGTGAGGCGTGCCTACATGAGGTGCACTGTGCAGCCATGTTTTAGATCCCACTGTCGTTAATGGTGGGCATTTGACACCATTTCGTTCACGAATTGGTAAATATTGTCGAGCAGCGCTGCGTTGGATGCTCGCCCAACGCCATCACCCGCATTGAGATCGGTCTTACGCCGAGTATTAGCGGCGCGCTTGTAAGAAAAACATTATTGTTTAAGAAAAATTTTGAGAAATAGCTTTAACTCCTGCAACTGCACCGGTTCGGATGGCAACAATCATCAGGTAACCGGCCATACAATGCTGTCTTCCAAGTTTCACCTTAGCACCGCGATGAACTTGTCTGATCCATGTAGATTAACGCGTCACCCAAACGTTGCATGGCAGCAGCGAAGAAACAACTGTGGTTCGGGTGCTAACCTCTGAAAATGGATGCCATAATTTGCCACGGAAAATGTCATCAGAGGACGATCCTTTAGACACGACTCATTCGTATCTGTGCCAATCTGGAAACTTTTCACTTCAATACGCTCCTTGCTAACCTTGTCAACGGAAGATATGGTGAGTATAGTTAGGGCGTAGTGTGCCACGAGACTGATTCGGCGGCGCATTGGGATGGGTTTAGGCGCAGCTCACGCAGCGTCAGGTGCTAGCTGAGTCACAGCGTATGCGTGGCAATGGAGAATGGGACGCCAATAAACTGGGTCACCTGCGAAATGCACCTTCGATATGGTGGTTCGGCCAATACGGTGAACCTTTGTTGGCCCTGTGAATCGGATAGGAAGTCGTACTACGGTCTTGCGGCTTGTCGAGACCATCAGTGGAGGCGTAAATATCCAGTGATTCTATGGATTGTAGCATCGACTTGGCGAAATATTGGCCGCGCTCGTTGTCCGAAACCGGGTTGCACAGTACCTCACCATCAGACAGGCGACTTCGCCACGCAAGACAACGCGATGCACTTTACCCTTCACTTCATGCCTCGAACGGTGTCCTTTCGCCTTCGAATGCATTTCTCTATTAGTGCATTCCTCATCAAGTCACCTCGATGTGGTGGTGGGTTGTTCGTTAGACTGAAAATGCGTTTCGGATTGCGATAACATTTATTCTGTATGTCTTCTAATGTTAGCGAATCGTCAACAGCACGAGCAACAGCGTAGTATGGTTTCCAAACCAGGAACCCGGTGGCGGCTTCTCAGAATTCTTCTCCTCCCATGTATGTGGCATGATCTGTGGCAAATACATCGATATAGTTCTATATTGTCCCACAGCGCTTGCTGATCCTCTGTTACATACAGGACGCACCTCTGCACGCCCATCGCCTATAGCCGGTATGTCATCTGGTGGAAGAAAGTGATGGGGACAAACCTCACAGGTACGCGTATGCCTTTCTCCTTGCAGCGCGTAGCATATCTCCTCGTTGCGCGCAATGTGCTAAATATGTACGGGACGATCCAGCAAATGCGCATTAGTATATGACGCCCATGGTTTGACCTCGCATGGCACCACGATTGGCGCACGTTTCGGCCAGTTTGCATGCTTCTCCCACACTGTCATGTCGGTCATTTTAAGCGTGCTAAACGTTCATTCAGATACATCTTCAAAGCCGTGTGAGGCCAGATTCAGCCAATAGTGCTGCGCGTTTGTGCTCGAGCGCCAACGTAGAGCGCAGTAGTCACAGCGTGCAGCCGGCTAGCGGAAGTCGCTGGAAGAGCTGGAAGCTAGTCGATCCTGATGGACCCAATGAAGGGCATGGGGCGCAATCAGTGTCCACCACCAGCGCAAAGCAGCTGCGGTTCGGTGCTGCGAAAGTCTTCTTTGTGTGGCCAGGTTCACGTAATGGACATGCACATCGTAAACCGAGGGTTTAACAATGCGACGTGAAGTCCATGCAGTCGGTATGAGTCTTCATGGCGGGCGACGTCCTGTGATGCGCATGGACTCGACAAAGTTTGGTGCATTGACGTCGGTCACCAGTGGACATGGGTAGTCGACAGCGAGACGACGTGTGCGATAGCCGTGTGCAAGGAAGATCTCAAGAAAATAAATAGAGAAGCATTTAAAGATTTTAAAATTCAAAAATCAGTGAAAGCCATAAAAACGTATTTCCCATCAACATAAGTCAGAAAGTGATGTTGATGACGTAATAATGTATTTAAGATACGAGTTTCAATTCGGCCAGTATTAATATTTCTCCTTAGGCCAATCAAAATTGCCTTTAAAAATTTTATATATGTTCAGCTGAGTCTTTAGGACCCTGTTACTTCTTATATGACTGTAGACGAATCTATATATTTGAACATGAAGAAGCTGCTTACATAAGAATCGACTTGAATAATTTTATAGTTCTCTCTAAATTTTTTTCTATCTTTCTGCTCTTCGATTCTTTCTGTCGGTTATGCCATTTCCATATTTAAGTGGCGGGGCATGGCGGGATAATTCTACGTACTTATGAACAATTAATTACATGAGTTTATCTCACCTCCTTGCACCTCCTCCTCGCAGCGCAAATTGATGACCATATCAAATTGTTTATTGCCAAAATTCAGCCAAGTGACGGCCTCGCCATTGGGATCTTCCGGTGATTGCTTATCGAAGTCCATTGTACGGATTCCACCTGTTGAAAGATAAAACGATTTTAATGATGATATTTATTACATATTCTAATTTATGGTACCACATATATAAATGCTATACAAGTATGTGTTTAAAAATCGGTCAAACGCGTAAACATATGTACGACAGAAGCAAGATTACGATTTATAAATACTAAGGACCTCGTGATGATGGTGAAATGACCCCACTAAGTTGAAGCGACTTTAACTTAAAAAGCATTAGACGCTATTTTTACTAAATTGTTTACCAATTGTCTAGTAAGCGCATAAGCTTACTGATGCCAATTGGGCTCATCACATAAAGAAAAGTTTTCTAATTTGATTTCTTGATATACTTTGTGCACGAAATGCTTAAAGTAACCGAATAAAAAATGTATAGTTATACGCATTCTTTGATAATGGTATTTGTTTTCGACATATTAGAAGGTTAATAAATCAGCAACCTTTTGGGGTTCTAACTTCTCCTTGAGAAAATCTTTCCTTATACTAAATATAGCCAAACCTAAACTTTAAGGGCTAGATTAAACGTAATTTCAAGAAACAGTACTTCTTTCAGAAAATGAGTGAGTCATTTTCTCTCAACGTGAAAAAGTGAAACCAAAAGCTAAATTTTTACCATGCCTTCAACTTTACCTTAAACTCTAATACAAATTATTACTCAAATGAGCAAATTTTGTCTTGGATCAACGTATACAAACACATATCTTATATACGAGCAAAAATTATAACGGTGAGAACTCTACTCTTTCTTTTCTTTATAAGGAAAAAAAGTTAAAATCGGCGCTTCGAAGCTATTATCTTCAGTGCATTCTTAAAGCAACAATCGAAAATTTAGCCGGCAAGGCTATGCGTTGTATTGGTCCGATATCAGAGCCCCGACAAATGAGCACTTTTGTGTGCAAAAGGACGTGCAATTGCAGATCGATATAA